CATATATCCAATAATACCTTTAATTTATTCAATTAGAAACGTACCTTATAAACGGATTATTTATTTTCATAATTTTATGCATTAAATGAATCTTAAGATGATGGTTTCTAACTGTCCAAATAATGCCTTTCCCCATTATTCTTTAATTTCTATTTCATCATAGTTAAGTTGTATAATAAATTATAGTTATATTGTAAAATAATTAAAGGGTTATCAAAAGCCTGAATCTACTTCAAGAGTATATATTCTGTTCAATTGGACAAGATTTCTGGTTTTTAATCATATTGGTCATAACTGTTATTTAATAATATAGTTTAAATTTTGGTTGGACAATTCTACTCCCTGTATCTTCATATTTGAAACAATCTTCGGGTCTTGTTCACTTATTCTTCAAGGTGAGTTTCACATTTTCTTAAGTGCTATACAATACTCTCAGGATCAATATTTGGCATTTCATTAATACTTATTAACAGGGAAAATTTATTTAGACAATTTTGTCCATTCAAAAGAAGATTTTCTCATGTATTCATGTCTTTCTCTATGTCTTTTATGGTTAATAATTTCCTTTGCATAAACTTTATATTAAAAGTTAATACACATTTTCTTTTCTGTCATGAATGGAAACTTTTCATAGAACTTTCAAGGTGTCACTAGGTAAATATAATCAGGAAAGCAACTGATTTGTGGGGATTCACATATAACCTCAATCTTACTAATCTTATCTCTAGTCAGTTTTGGTTGACTTCCTTGGCTTCCTGCTTCTATTGCTGAAAGTTTAGAGTGGCAGCAAAAGTATGAAGAGTGCGGGGGTGGGGAGGGGAAGGAAAACCTAAAATGATGATAGGTCTTCTCCTCTAATAATTAAAAAGCAGAATCTTAAGCAACTGTTATTCTTGTTTTCCTGCTAAATGTAGTCTAACAATTCATAAGAATTGAAATTTCAAGATTTCTCTTATGTGAATAATTGTAAATTTGTGTAATACCTAAGGTGCTATAACAGTGACTTGTAATAACAAAATTATCAGCAACAATCCATTTTGTATCACTCTGGGAAACTTTTTTATTTTGTTGAGTTAATAAATCATGTATCTTGAAAAATTCTCTTCAAATCTTTTTTAAGATTAAATTTTAATTCTAAAACCACAAAAATCACTTACTTTCACCTTCCTGAAGCATTTTCAATAACTGTGCATTTCTTGCCTTTACTTCTTTATACTTTGCCTGATAGTTAAAGAAAAAAAAGATTTAATTTTTAAAGTAAATGATAAATTAATGGTTTACTATCAATATATGGTCTATGAGTTCTTGAAGACATAGTTACTTTTAAAAGAAAAAGGATGAAGAAAAATGTATTCAGAACTGTCTACTACTTAAATTGTATCCCTCATGACTGAAAGAGATAAAAATGGAGAAAGCAGGATAATATTAAATTTTTCTGAGGACTTTCTCTTTTCTTCTTCAAATAAAACCCTTAATATTTCAAAATAATTAGAAGAAAAATGATTCATGGCTCTATACCAGGAATATCCAGTAGTATACTAGAACTTTCTGTATCTGTGTTATATCTGCCACTGTCCAATATGTGACTTAACTACTGAAAATAGACCTAGTTTGACTTTGGAAAATACAGTTTTACCTTTATTTAAAGTTTTAATTTTATTAAATTTAGGTACACACATGTAGTGGTTACTGAATTGCACAGCACAGTTGTGTCTTCTCAGTTAAGACTAAATTTACTAATCTCTTGTTATTTCAATAACTATTGCTAAAGTAATTTTTGGCAGATATGAATTAGTAATTTATTGAGAGATCTTTTAATTCTTTTTCAATTTTTTTCTCCAATGTCTTAGCTTCTTCTCATACTACATAGGTGATACAACTATACATTTATGACTAAGAAGAACTGTGTTTCCATGTTAACCTCCATATTCTGGAGAATTTTCCCACAACAACACCTTTATTCAACATATAACCCACTCTGAATTACTTATAAATATTTAATACATTAGAAAAAATACATTTAATACAATATAGAAAAAAACAAATCAGGAACATATCAGTATAAAAAACTTGTCATTTCTTCTCTTATCATGTACACAGATATATACAGAATTTACCAAATTCAAGTCTTTCTTGTAAGAGAAATTTAATGTATTTTAAATCAAGTCCAATAAATATGGCTTTTACTAAATACTCTGCCCAGTAAATTGCTGATGATAAATCAGTAATGTAACCGAGTAATACTGAATACAATGAACAGAAGTAAGGACCAAAGTAAATATACAGTGAACAGGACTTCTGAGCTGCTTAGAAATGAACAAGAAAGATAAGTCAGATAGAAAGAAAAATATGAAGGAAAAAACCTTATACATTCAACTACAACTATATTCACTATGAATATAGAAATATATATATCTACTATGAATATGAAACTATCTTATGAAATTCTAATTCTTAGGGCTTCAATCAATGTTACTATCTCACCAAATTATCTCTAGCTCAAACCTTTTGTCTAAGGTCCAGATCAGTGTACATGGAATCACCTCTTATACTAGTCTTAGGGTCTAAAATTAGCACATACAGCAAAAATTGCAAATGAGCAACATTACCCATGGAAACTCTTTATATTGTCCATTAAAGTAACATATAACACATACAATCCTAAATAGTAAATCTATGTATAAAAACATATATGTATAAAAATACTAGTAGCAATTTATAATAAAGAACACAAATGAAATACTTAATGCTCTTATTGGTACCTTAATTTTATGAAAAAGAGAGCACTTAGTGTTAAATGCATATACAGTATATTGTGCCTCTACTGTACTGTACTGCATCCTAACACCTATGCCTGAATCCATAGCTATTTCAAACTTAACATGTTCAAAATAGGATCTATTATTCCCACTGCCTAATAAACTAGTTCAAAATGTGCTCTTGCTCTTACACTCAATACCTGTTCGTTGTTTTATCAGACTATATTCACTCCAGGCCCTCAGTTATGTGCATTACCATTCCACAAAACAATTTTCATGTCACTTAAAATCTGATCCCAACTAACATCTCCAATTTCACGCTCTACAACTTCCCAGTTCTCTAAATGTCAGCAACAATGTATTTCCTACCATTCCGATGCCTTTGTATGTGCTGTTCTCTCTACCTGGAAACACCATCTTTTCTGTAAAATCCTCACCAATTTTCAATAGCAACAACTAATTCATTCCTGTTTCTGTGCTTCTGGAGCACTCAGTCAAATCTCAATTATAAAGCCCATACCGCAATTATATACATATTTATCCTCCACATTAGTCTATGAGCTTCTTGCTAACTCATCCTTGTATTTTGTGTCTGGGATATGGTATATGCTCAAAAAAAGCAAAGAAAAATATAAATGACAAAGGAAAAGCTAAGGGAAACGGGCAGGGATTATTACTAAGGGCATGAGTAGAGAAGGAAAGGAAATGTTAAGTACCATCAAGTGCTGGAATTTGACTTATCATTTTTTTCACTATTACATATGCAGGGCCCAGAAAGACACTTGAAATGAATAAAGGTACTTTTTAAAGCCTAACAAGCAAGAAAGGAAGGAAGGTTAATATGTAGGTTTATAGTTAAAAAATAAATTGTATAAATAACAAGTGTTAGTAAGCATGTGGAGAAACTGGAAGCCTATGGATCACTGATGAGGAGGCAAAATGGTAGAGCTGTTACAGAAAACAGTTTGTTGGTACCTCAAAAAGTTAATGTAGAATTATTTTTGACCCAGCAATTCCACTCTTAGCTATATAACCAAAGGATTTAAAAGCAGAGACTCAAGTACTCATACACCAATGTTCATTGTAGCGTTATTCACAACCAAAAGGTGGAAACAATGCTAATGTTCATCAACAGATGAATAAACAAAATGTGGTACATACATATACTGGAATATTTTTCAGTCATAAAAAAGAATGAAATTCTGACACATGCTAAAACATGGATGAACCTTGGAAACACTATGCTAAGTGAAATAAGCCAGACACACTAGAACAAATATTGTATGGTTCCACTTATATGAAGTACCTGGAAGAAGCAAAATCATAGAGACTACATGTTATCACAGGCTGTAGGGAA